AAGGCTTGATCTACATTGCAAGCTCCAGGCCAACCAGACAATACAGTGAGACTCTGGCTCAAAAAATAAACTAAAAGCCAGGCAGTGGTAGTGCACGCCTTTAAACCCAGCACTCGAGAGGCAGAGACAGGTGGATCTCTGTGAGTCTGAGGCCAGCCTGGTCTACAGAGCGAGTTCCAGGACAGGCTCCAAAGCTACACAGGGATACCCTGTCTCAAAAAAATAAAAAATAAAATAAAATAAAAACAAGCCAGGCAGTGGTGGCACACACCTTTAATCCCAGCACTCGGGAGACAGAAGGAGGTGACAGAACTCAGGATCTCTGTTGAGTTCGAGGCCAGCCTGGTCTACAAAGTGAGTTCCAGGACAGCTAGGGCTGTTAACAAAGAGAAACCTTGTCCCGAAAAACCAAAAAATAAAATAAAATAAAAACAGCAGTGCCTTGTGCATGCTAGGCAAGCATTCTACCTCTGAGCTACACACTCAGTCCAAGAACTTTCCATGTCACTCAAGCAACATGTAACAGCCACTCAGACTGTTTTGAGTAACAGCCCAGCAGGCAGTCCTATCTGAGTCAGTCTCCAAGGAGGAAAGGCAAAGTACCCTGCAAGGTCGGTTTGAAAGGAAAGCAGACCATTCATTCATAAACACCTCAAATGAAATGAGTTCAGAGACAACCAAACCCCTCAACTAATTTCAGTTCCTGACTTCTCTTCCCAGCATATCTTCTCCAAAATAGGCAAGCCAACTGTACAGGTCTAAGAAAGAGTTCTAGCCCAGCAGTGGTGGCGCTCGCCTTTAATCCCAGTACTTGAAAGGCAGAGGCAGGCAGACCTCTGAGAGTTCAAGGCCAGCCTGGTCTATAGAGCGAGTTCCAGGACAGCCAAGGCTACACAGAGAAACTCTGTCTCAAAAAAAAAAAAGAGTTCTGGTGCTCCCCAAGCTAGAAATTCTTGCTGCTTTTTTATAAAAGTGGGTAAACAACCGGTTTTAACAATGCTGGTAAATAATTAAGACTAACCAGCAAAGTCTAGTGGTGACGCATGCCTACAATCTCAGCACTTGGGAGGTTAAAGCTCAGAAGTTCAAGGTCATCCTGAGCTAGAGTGAGCTTGAGGACAACCTGGGACCCATGAATTCCCATCTCAAAAGATCAAAATAAATTAAAAAAAAAAAAAAAAAAAACTCAAAACACTGAATAGCAGAAAGCCAAAACTAAAAGCAAAGCTAATCCACAAACTAACCTAAACAAGAGCTGCTACAATTTAAGGTTAAATACCAAAAAAATTCTTCCGTGTAATGGTGCACGTATGTTTATGTGCTCAAAGATTTGTTTCTCAGAAGTTCCCACATAATAGTACCACACACTCCCATCCTTCTAAATGGTGGTACTTGGTCATAAGGACGGGAATCTCTTTTATCTTTTTATTCTTTAGTATCTTTTGAGAAAAATCATCTCCTTTCTGATAATCATTACGATTTACTAAGGTCCAGGGGAGAGATATTTCATAAATACAGAAAGTAACAGCTGCAGATCTAACACCCTGGGAATAAATCACTTCATTCAAATCTTTTAAAATTTCATGTGCTATAACAGAAGGCCACCCAAAGAGCTCCAATATTCTGATAGGAAGCATCTGACTAAGCCAGGGTTTTAAACATCTACAAGCTTCAAAAACTGGGACAGCCAGAATGTAACTATCCTTGAGATGAAACCTAAGACCCTTCCAAACCCGTCCTTAACCATGACTTAAAAAAAAAAAAAGAAAAAGGGAAAAGCGGCATTTCCCTGGAATCTGACAAGAGAACTCCAGCCCTCACTCTCGGAACTCCACCCACTACCCTCTACTGCGCTGCTGCAGCTGTCCAGGTGTCCAGGCGTTTCCCTGCTGTGCTGAACTGCAGCAAACACGCCATTCCCTCGAGAGGGAGGTAAGAGAACACACATTATCACACGACTCCTCTACAGGAAAAACTTCCACACCAAGCCAATCCCAGACAGCTGCTACTAAACTGGTCATAACTCCCCCAACAAGTCGTCCATTAAGCACCTACTCTGTGCAATACACCCAATGGTGAACCTAAGTGTACTCAATGGTAGAGTGCTTGGCTAACACACAAGAACCTGGTACTAAAATAAAAAAATCACCAGTATTGCTTCAAAAAAAAAAAAATAAAAGTGAACCTAACAAAATTTGACAAAACAAATATTTGACAGTAAGTAACATAAAACTCTAATTACAAAAAGGCTACATATAAGTAACTTTGGGGCACAGTTTACCTAGGACACATCACTCTGTACCTGATGTCCAACTGTTAAACAAAAGTACCTCCTTTACGCTCAAAAAATGTCCGCCTGTACTCTAAGCTGTTAGGTGAGAAGGACAAGCTATCTCGAGAAGGACCAGGGCAGACAGACTGCTTTAGGCCGACTGATCAGAGGCTCCTTGAACAGGTGCAGCTTTATTTAGTCCTGATAGTTAAGTTCCCATATATTCTGGAAGAAGAGCATTCCAAGTGGAGGAGACAGGACAGGCTCTGGCAAGGCGAGATGGGTGGGTATCACTCCTGATCAACATTTTGTTTGACTAACTGAGGAGTCAAAAGATGTGACTTGGGGTTCCCATAAATCAACATGGACATGCAAGATTAAAATATCTTCAACATCTGAGAGGTGTCAAACCTCAAAATTAAATATGAAGACAAAAAAAAAGCCCAATGCAATGTCTTTCAAAGGTTTTTTTGTTTTGTTTTGTTTGTTTCTGGTTTTTTTTTTGTTTTATAAGGGCTTTTGTTTGTTTTAAGACCAGGTTTTTCTGTGTAGTCCTGGCTGTCCTAGAACTCACTTTGTAGACCAAGCTGACCTCAAATTCACAGAGATCCATCTACCTCTGCCTCCCAAGCGCTGGGATTAAAGGTGTGAGCCACCACATCTGTGTTATGGCTTTAAAATTTTTTTTTTTTTTTTTTTTGGTTTTTCGAGACAGGGTTTCTCTGTGTAGCTTTGTGCCTTTCCTGGAACTCACTTGGTAGCCCAGGCTGGCCTCGAACTCACAGAGATCCGCCTGGCTCTGCCTCCCTAGTGCTGGGATTAAAGGCGTGCGCCACCACCGCCCGGCTGGCTTTAAAATTTTTAAGTCATGAATCTTGTTAAAGTCTGAAACACTCCTAAATCTTCACCCATTGTACAAATACCCATATCACATAACTCCAGGTCAGTGGGCAATACCCCGTACAAACTCCACCACCACCAAAAATTAACATATGGACTCTAGGTCTAAAAAAGGATGAGAGCCGGGCAGTGGTGGTGGTGGTGGTGGTGGTGGTGGTGCATGCCTTTAATCCCAGCACTCAGGAGGCAGAGGCAGTCAGATCTCTGTGAGTTCAAGGCCAGCCTGGTCTACATAGAGAAACCCAGTCTCAAGAAACCAAAAAAAAGAAAAAGAAAAAACGGGGAGGGTGAAGGGGAAAGAGGGAAGATGGATCAGTTGACGTGCTTGGTACACAAACAAGAGACCATAATTTCAATTCCTAGGACCCAAGTAAAAGGCTGGCTGACATAGCTTTGGACTCTCTGCTCTGAGGAGGAAAGACAAACAGAACCCTAGAGTTCTCTAGCCAGCCACTCTGGCTGAATCAGCGAGTGCCAGTTCAATTAGACCCTGTCTCAATAAGTAAACGAAGAAGTGAAAGAGGAAGAAGTCCCACGACAACCTCTATTCACCCGAGTCCCCTTTATAAAGGCAAAGGCAAGCTCTCAACTCTATCTGAGTATTAAGATTAGGCTAGGTAAGGGCTGGAGAGATGCTTTCGTGGTTAAGAGCATTTGATGTTCTTCCAGAGGATGCAAGCACCTGCATCAGATGGCTCACAGCTGCTGTCACTCCAATTCCAGGGGATCTGACGCCCTCTCCTGGCCTCTTCAGTCACTTCAACACATACGGCACACACATACACAGAATAGGCTGGACATGATGACGCACGCCTTTAATCCAAACACTTGAGAGGCAGAGGCAGGTGGATCTCTGTGAGTACAGGGCCAGCTTGCTCTATATTAACAAGTTTCAAGCCAACCAGCGATACACAGTGAAACCCTGTCTCAAAATAATGAATAAACAAGTCAATAAATAAATAAATTATTATTATTATTTGAATGTACTATTATTATTTGTATACTGTTCCAATCTAGAATTTGCTATGTAAACCAGACTGGCCTTGAATTTGCTGTAATCCTCTTGCCTCTGCATCCTGCATGCAAGGATTACAACCATGCCCAACTTTCAAGATACATGTATTTTTTCCCTTTGTGACAAGGTCTCATGTATTCCAGGCTGGCCTCAAACTCATTCGGTAGCTGAGGATGACCTTCCACTTCTGAACCTCCTGTGTCTACCTCCCAAGTGCTAAGATTGCAGGCATGCACCACCAAAGATATTTCTTAGGGTGCAACAAAGATATTCAGAAATAAAGGGGAAAAAATTATACAAATATACATTAGAAAAGATACCAAGCCAGGTATAATGATGCTCACTCATAATTTTAGCACTTAAGAGGCATAGTCAGAAATATCTGAGTTTCAAATCATTATTACTAAGTCTACATAACAAGTTCAAGGCCAGCCTAGGCTACATAAGACCCTGTCTCATATAAACCAAAGGAAGGCTGGGGAAAGAGCTCAGCTGGTGAAGTGCTTATGTAGCATGCAGGAGGACCTGTGTTTGATCCCCATCATCACAGACACTACTTATGGTAAAACATGTCTATAATCCCAGCACTTAGGAGGCAAAGTCAGGAAAATCTGAAGTTCAAAGTCATCCTTGGCTATATATTAAGTTCAAGGTTAGCATGGGATATATGAGAACCTGTCTCAAAAAGGAAAAAAGAGAAAGCAGTCCCTGCCCCACCCAAGAAAAAAACAGAATAAGCAATGTATATATCACCAAAAGTCAAAGAGACCCCTTTCCCAAAATTTTAGACAGAATTGTTCTTGGAATCCTTACCTTACTAACATTGAGTGAAGCTAGGGGAGGAGGGGTTTCTGTTCGATCATTAATTATTTCCACTTCTGAAACATACTGTAAATTTATAAGCAAGATGTCTGCATGGTTGGGCTTTCCACTGGAAGAGGGACATTCTGGTGAGAAAATAAAGTTAAGGAAAATAGGACAAAGGCACATCATCGCACAAGGAGTATAGCAAAAAATGCAGACTGATAGAAGACAAGCAAGCCCCAAAGAAGTCCTTGCTCTCTTCAAAATCTCCCCCATTACCTTGCTTCTGCCCAAACACATAACCAAAAGATCTCAAGCTTTTCAAAGTCATGTACAGACAGAAACTGAAAGCCTTGAAAGGGTTTCTGTCACTTTCTCTCTATGGGTTTGATGGAGAGAAACGCAGTTTTAATGCTGTGTATGCTGTTTGTCTTGCACTTAGAGCCACAAAGGGTCAGTGCTTTCAGGTCTAAGTTAATACTCAGTGTCTCCCTGTATCTACAGAGCGCTTCTTACTCGCTTAGATTCCATGCTCTTCTTTCTTCAGTTTCTGTTCCCCACTTAAAATTTCCCATTTTTCAGAGGCAAAAAGTACACTATTTGGGAAGGAAACTACCCAAAATGACACCTAGTTCATTCATCCATCCATCCATTTCCCAACCATTTACTGAGATCCTTCTGTGTGCCTGGTAAAAGGAGAGTAAGTCTTCCTTTTAAGACTCTCCCAACTAAGCCACCGAAGAAAGAGGTTTTAGGCCAAGTATGATCTCTTGTTTTTAAAATAACACAAGATAAAAGGACTGTTCTTGCAATTCATTTATGAAGAAATCTTTCTGAGCCAGAAATCGACAACTCATCATTAAATTAATTAAAAGGCAGCAGACTTCTGTAAGAAACTTCATTTTAAAGACAGAGGCTACCTTCTCCTAAAAATAAGTAAGTGGTAACTCAAGTAAGCCCACCTGTAGCTCAAATAAAGGGGGAAGTAGTGGTACATTTATTCCAACCAGGAAGTGTTTTGTTTTCCAGCAGTGAGTTTGCAGGAGTAATTCAGAAATCACTTTCACCCCAAGGGAGTAGGGCCACCTCCTCCATGCAGTTTAACATTGGTACTTTAAAAAAGGAGGGCATTACTATGGAAAACGGAGGACTTCCATGTATTGAACTGAACAGGAGCCCACACTGTCATACATAAACCCCCGAAAAACGTGGCAAGTCCTCTCTGGACCAGGATTCCAATTCCAACACCCCCTAAACAGCAATTTTCAAATGACTGAGCACCTCACAATCAGCACACACACCCCACACACACAATGACACCAAGCATACACGACTCTAACAAAATTAGCCACCAGTTCAGAATACAAAATCTGTCCTGCACTTCCTACCCCAAAAGTGGCAAGGGCCATTTGGTCACCATCCCACCGCCCTTTCTTGAACCAAATCTCCTCAGCAGACAGCCCACTCCTAAAGTCCATACCCTTGCCCTACTAGCAGCTCCTGACCCTACACACCCCTTCCCATAACATTTTATCCCTCCCCAACTCCATCCGGGCTCCACTCCCCAGCCCCCTTCCCACCACTCCCCCCTCCCTTAATCACTGAGTCCCCTTAACACACCGTTCCCTCCCGAAAACCCACCCGCGTGTCAAGCCCCGCTCCACCCACCAACCCTCGGCAAGGGCCCAGCTCTCACAAGGGGTGGGAGACAAGGGTCCCCCAAGTGGACCGAAAGGCCCGCGGGAGGGGGAGGGGAACTCAGGGCCGTGCGCATGCGCCCGGGGCGACGCGGTAGCCGGTCGCCCCTAGGCCGAGAGGGCCCTAGCTGCCGCCGCCGTCCCCCCGCCCCCCACCACCGCACCTACACGCCGGCCCGGCCTCGGGGGTCCACGCAGAGAAGGATACTTAGAGCCAGCATTTTGGACTGGTAGTCGAAGGCTACCACCTCGCCCTGCAGCCGCTGCTCCTGGCACGTCCGGCACGACACCTGGCTCCCAACGCTGAAATACTCGCCCGGAGGAGCCGCCATCTTGGGAGAGCAGCCGCGGCCGGCGGCGGCGGCGGCAGCAGCGGGCGAAAGCCGGGCCCCCAGCAAGCGCCGCGCCGCGACGCACGGGGCGTGCTGACGTCATGCGCCGGGGCGTGGTCTGGTGCTGGGTGGGGCGGGAGCCTAGGTGGAAGAGGGAACAGGAAATAAAGGGGAACGTGAGGACCGTGGAAATGTGTGGCCGCCGGTCTGCTTGGTTAAGTGCTTGCAGGGTTCTTTTGAAAGTTAAGGAAGTAAGTAGACGTAAAGCATAAATAACCCTACGTGGAACGAAATGGAGAAAAGAGAGGCAACTGGAATCTCTGCTTAAGCCCACACCTTGCACAAAAACGTTTAATGAATGAACTCTATAAAATAGTCTCCTCAATTGCATACGAAGAACTAGAAGCTCAGAGGACTTAACTCACTCAAAATGATTACAACTAATTACAAAGTAATTATGCAAAAACATTAGCTGTAAAGTTAGGCAAACTAGAATCTGAGGCCATTTACCAAATAATGTGACCTTAAACAAATTAGCAAACTTGATTATGTTTCTTCAGTGGGATCTAAATACCACTTATTGAGCTTCAACTGCCCCGCAGGGCAGGAATCAATATCTTCATTTTACAGGTGAAGAAATGAAATCTTGAACTTGGAAGAGTCATAAAACCGGTAAAGCCATGGTTTTGACTCCAACAAAGATGCTCTTGACTACTGGCCTATATTAGATAGTAACACTTGCCTCATAAGGCAACTCGGAGGCTTAAGTGAGATAATGCATGCATGCCTGTCATACAGGAGCTAAATAAATAAGTTACCCCAGGATCACCTATCACCTTTGGGACCCAGAGCACTTCTGTCTCTCTGCATGCCCTCTCTCCCAGAAAGCCAGGTAAAAAGGAGGAACAGCTCTGGAATGTAGCTCAGTCACAGAGCACACACCCATTCTCAAGGCCTTGGGTTCAAGTCTCAGCACCACTAAAAACCAGGAAAAATAAAAAAGAGAGAAGGAAAGACCGGAGCAAGGAAGAGTCACAATGACAAAGGGCTTTGGAAGGGGTCTGCCCCTCCCCCCAATAATATCCGTCTTACATACAATGGTTTACTAACCTTGTGAAGAAGGAACTGTGCAGATGCATTTTTTTGTTTGTTTTTCAAGACAAGGTTTCTCTGTTTAGCGGCTCTGGCTGTCCTGGAATTCACTCTGTAGACCAGACCACGCAGATGCACTTTTTTTTTGGTTTTTCAAGTGCCAGTTGTGGTGGCACACGTCAGTAGGATTTGCTGAAGGAAGAGGAGGCAGGAGGATCACGAGTTCGAGGCCAGCCTGGGCAGATACACTTTTATTTATTTATTTTTTATTATTACTATTTTTATTTATTTATTTGGTTTATTTGTTTATTTATTTCTTTATTTTGTTTTTTGAGTCAGGGTTTCTCTGTGTAGCTTTGCGCCTTTCCTGGAACTAGCTTTGTAGACCAGGCTGGCCTCGAACTCACAGAGATCCGTCTGCCTCTGCCTCCCGAGTGCTGGGATTAAAGGCGTGCGTCACCACCACCACCACCACCACCGCCCGGCCGGATGCACTTTTAAACCTCTCACCACCAACTGCCATCCTTCATCCACCCAACCCATAATATAAAACTATGAGAAACCGGTTGACCTTTCTCTAGCTTAGAGGGAGGCAGCGGGCCAGCTTTGGCACTACTAGTGAGCCTGAACAAAGTTCAAAAGTGTTTCCTTGTGCTCCAACAGGCAAAAACTTCCTTGTGTTGGCAGCATTGGTACAATCTTTTTTTTTTTTTTTTTTTTTTTTTTTTTTTGGTTTTCCGAGACAGGGTTTCTCTGTGTAGTTTTGTAGCCTGTCCTGGAACTCACTCTGTAGCCCAGACTGGCCTCGAACTCACAGAGATCCGCCTGGCTCTGCCTCCCGAGTGCTGGGATTAAAGGCGTGCACCACCACTGTCCGGCTGGTACAATCATTTTAATAGCCATAAAAATTCTCCTCCATGCTTATGCTTTTCTCAGAGGAGTGTTGTGTCTTTCTGTTCTGGCCCTATAGTAAGTCATGGATAACTCCACTTCTCCAGGAGAGGAGTGCTGGGGTTGAACCCAGGACCTTCTACCACCACTACATCCTCAGCCCTGACTCCACTTTGTATGACATAATGAGTCTCCTCCTTTCCCAGTGCACGCCTGAAACTCTGAAAGTAGGAATGTCTACATAGAACATTGTTTTCTATTCATACATACAGATGACAAAGTTTATGTTAGGCCCAGTAAGAGCTTAACAACTTCTAGTTAAAATAGAACTATTTTTAACAATATATCATATAAAAGTTTCATGAGTTCAGTCTCTCGGTTTCAAAGTATCTTTCAGGACTTTCACCATTCACTTAAAGGAAGCTTCTCTATGGCATTTCCGAATCACCACATCACCATTGGGTCATCATTAAGTAAAATAAGAATTACTTGGACACAAGTACTTTGATTCCAAAAAAGTTGATCTCCTTATCAAGATGTCTAATTGACTAATGGATTAAATAGCATGTACAGCATGGATCTTAGACCAAGGGGTGATCCACATCCCAGGCTGGATGGAGCATGATAGATCCAGATTCCATGACACTACTCAGAACTGGACACAATTTAAATCATTTTTAAATGTTTATTAACTTTATTTATTTTATCTTATTTACTTATTTTGGTTTTTGGAGACAGGTTTTCTCTGTGTAACAGAGCCTTGGCTGTCCTGGAACTAGCTTTGTAAACCAGGATGGCCTTAAACTCACTGAGCTCTGCATGCCTTTGCCTCCCGAGTGTTGGGATTATAGGCATGTGCCACCAGCCTGCACTATTTTACTTTTATGAGTAAGTATTTTGCCTGCACATATATGTATGCATGCCACATGCCCTGTGGAGGTCAGAAGATGGTATCAGATCCCCTGTGGAGTCACAGATGGTTGTGAACCACATGTGAGTGCTGGGAAATGAACCTGAGTCCTCAGCAAGAGCAGCAAGCACTTAACTGCTGAACCATCTCTCAAGCCCCCACAATTTAAATCTTCCAGAGACCCAAGTTCAATTCCCAGCACCCTCATGGTGGGTGAAAAGGTTTTACTAGAAAAACCAACTCTTTGTCCTCCAGATATATACAAACAATAATAAATGAAAAAATTAATAACAAATTTTTAAAAAAGTCGTAAAGCATGGCTTGAGGATATAGTTCAGTGGTTGAAGACTTGACTGTTTTGTGCCAGGCCTTGAGTTGAATTCCTAGTAACTCAAAATAAACTATTGTAAATCAGGGTGCTGATATAGATTGATGAAGTTGTGACTTTAGAGTCTGGAGCCAGAGCAGAATTTCCAAGACTCCTTAAGCAGTGGGTAGTAGCCCAGCAGTGGTGGAGCAAGCCTTTAATCCCAGCATTTGGGAGGCAGAGGCAGGCGGATTTCTGTGAGTTCGAGGCCAACCTGGTCTACAGAGTGAGTTCCAGGACAGCCAGGGCTGTTAAACAGAAAAACACTATCGCAAAAAAAAAAAAAAAAAAGGCAGGTAGTGGTGGCCCATGCCTATAATCACAGCAGCACTCCTGTGGAATTGGGAGTTCAAGGCCAGCCTGAGCCAGATTTATCTCAAAACTAAATAAACTCAAGCTTAACCCCAGCAGAGGCAGGTGGATCTCTGTGAACTCAAGGCCAACCTTGTGAGTTCCAGGACAGCCCCGGCTCTGTCTCAAAAATAAATAAATATATAAACTCCATATGAACTTTTGGCTTCTTGAAGCAACTGAAAAACACTTTCAAGGTCACGAACTGACTGAGATTTACATCCAGCTTCCCTCCACAGCACCTTCTTAATTTCACAGCCTCATTCTCATCCACTCTTCAGAAAACTTCAAGACCAAAGTAGCTTGAGGCACTAAAAATTGAAGAGCACCCGGCATGGTGGCGTACACCTTTAGTCCCAGCACTCAGGAGGCAGAGGCAGGCAGATCTCTGTGAGTTCGAGGCCAGCCTGGTCTACAGAGTGAGTTCCAGGACAGCCAAGGCTACATAATGAAACTGTCTTGAAAAAAAAAAAACAAACAAACCAACAAAACAGAAAAAAAAAAAGAAATCAAAGAGCTGCGTCGACAGGCTCATGCCTCTACCTTAAGCAGACTTTCATTAAAACGGTTGTGATTTCTTTTGTGTCCCTCCAAATTATTTCAAAAACTGTAGGCATGTGCCCTTCCTCTTCTCATTACTACCTCTTGGCTTATCTGCCCAGCGAGGAATTTTGAATGGCAGGAGGGTGGTAGAGGTGAGGGCAAGGCGAGTTTCTCGCACTTAACACACACATGTAAGCCCTGGGTTCTTGAGGAAAGACACCTCAACCTCGAGTTGAAGATGAAGTAGGATGGGAGAATCCTGAGCTAGAGACAGAGTAGATAAAGAGTGTGGGTAAACTCTAGGAGCTCCAACTTGACTTCCGTCTCTCCAAAGGATCTAGAGTTGAGAGAAGTGGGTAGTGATGTTGGAGAAGAGAGGTCAGATTCAGAAGGTACCCCGACCCTGGAGATCAGACATCCGCCTTCTCAGCAGCAGAACAAGGAACCGGGACACACCGCTGGTCCCCAGGTTCATCTGCTCCCTGACCCGGAACAGCAGCGGGTTTCTTCGCTACGCCGGCAGCCCACGTGCTGGCAACAGCGGCCACGTGGGGCCCCGAGGAAACGCCTTCGCAAAGGTTTGTCCCCTCCGCTGTCCAGTAGAGAGGAAGGCCGGGGAAGAGCGTCGGTCGTAGGAAACAGTACCCGCCACAAGCCCAACTGGCGCGTGCCAGGGACTGCGGGGGGCGGGGCGGGGCGGGGGTGGGGCTTGTTTTAGACCCCTGGCGGGGAGGGCGGGGCCCGGGGCTAGAAAGGGTGGGCTCCAGAGGGCCAGCCGGTAGCCGCCGCTTGGGGTGTCTGACCGGGTTCCTTCCCGCCCGCTCCCGACAAGCCTGACGGACTCCAGCCTGACGGACCCCTGACTCACCATGGAGTCCACGCTGATCGCCGGCATCGCGATGGCCGAAGCGCTGCAGAACCGGCTCCCCGGGCTAGAGAACATG